GGGCTGCAGGGAGTTTTTGCAACACATTCAGACTCTAAGGAGAACCCAGGCTGTCAGCGGAAACTGAGTGATCGGAGGCCCTGCACATTTTACCGTCCACTAGAACTTACTCCAAGAGGCCTCCTGAGCCCCGGAGGCACAGGACGCCGTGAGGCAGAGCTGGAAGTGTAACAGTGCGTGAACAGACGAGGGGCCCACAGTGAGAGTCCACGGGCTTCGACAGGAAATAGAGCGGGTTCAGCTCCTTCTCAGGCGCACGGCCTTGGTGGAGTTTTACTTAACTTTCCAGATTTCAGTTTCTAAATCTGTAAAATGGGACTGTTCTGAGGACTGACTAAATGAACTACCATCAAAGCCTGATACAGGTACATTGTCAAACATTCTGTTTCACAGAATCATCAGGAAAATGCAAACTCCTCATCCAGTAAGGAAAACGACAGCTTGACAGATCTTTTTTTTTCCCCAGAACTGTCAAAACTGACAAATTGTCAATTTTGTCAAATTGTCAAAAATGTCAATTCTATCCATTTTTCCAGTGCTTTGTTCTTTCATTTCTTCTTCTCCCCAATTTCCTCAAATCCAGCACTATTCAAAAACACCTTTAAAGCTAAAGCTTTGACCCATTTTAAGATGGGTCAGTTCTGCTAACCACACCCGGCTAAGCCACACCCAGATTCCTGATCCATAGAAACTGTGACATAATAAATAATTGTGGTTTTACACCATTAATTTTGGGGGGTAATTTGTTACACAGAAATAGATAATAAACATATCATTAGTCCTGAGGGAAATGCAAATTAAAGCTATAATGAGATACTGCTATATACTAAAAGGGGTAAAATTTAAAAGATTGTACTAATAGGTTTTGGTGAACAGATGAAGTAATTCAAACTCAAACTCATCTACTGCTAACAGAAATAAAAGAAATACAGCCACTTTGTGAAAAGCTTAGCAATTTCTTAAAAATTTAAGAAATTGGTCAGATGGTAGACACTTCTCCTATGTATTTCTCAAATGTATTTAGCCACACAAAGACTTATACAAAACTATTCATAGCAGCTTGTTTAAAAGAGCCAAAATTGGAAACAATCCAAATGTCTAGCAACAAGTGAATGGATAAACAAACTGTGGTATGTCCATGTAATGGAATGTTATTTAGTAAAAAAAAAAAGAATTTGATTATCATAACATAGATGAATATCAAAATAATTATGCTCAGTGAAAACAGACAAAAATTACACTGCTATTCCATTTATATAGTGTTCTATAAAATGCAAACTAGTCTGTAGTGACATAAATAGATCAGTGATTGCCTACAGATATGGGGGGGGGTGGACAAATCAATCACATGGGGCAGAAGGAAACTTTTAGGGGTGATGGACATGTTAATTATCTTGATTGTGGTGAGCTGCAAGATGTCCTGGAGACAACATGGTAGAACCATATTTAAAAACACAAAAATGTTCTTTATTTCATAAATCTCACGCTTAGGAATTTATCTTAAGGACAGTTCACAGTAAACACAAAGTTCTTAAACACATAGCAACATTACCTATATCAGAGGTATTGGAAGTTACCTGATTGCCAAGCTACCATAAAAGGATTAAATCAACACAAGACCGCGTCACTCCCAACTAAAGATGAAAACCAGGAAGTAAGGGGCAACATGCAGCTATGTTTACAAAATATTGTAAGCGAATTGTGCATAGACTACAGAACTGTACACACTCTACTGTTACACCTATGCGAAAATATACAGCTGCATAAGAACACAAAGGAGAAAAAACAGAACATAGAAAAACTCAGTCAATGAATGATAGGTAACTGGTATGTGGGCGACGGTTTTCTTCCAGCTTTGTCTTCTGTAATGTTATGATGTTTTCATAACAGTTTTTTAAATGTCTTCTTGGTTCTGGCTCAGTCTCCCAACCTGGTGATTATTCTGAGTCTTGCATCTGTCAGCTACCAGCATCAGCACCTCAGTGCGGTCGGCCCACAAGCCCAATCAGCTTGCCTTCTATGCCTTCTTCTGTATCACTGATAAAATGCTGAACAGAGCTGTGATGTGGTGTGAAGAGCACACTCTTTTCCTCCATTGCTGTGAGTCTGCGTATGTTATTTCAATTCCATAATTGACTGAAAGCCAGTTCCCAAGGGACGAGGACTAGGAGATGGAAGGAAAGTGAACCAGAGAAGGAGGTGGAGATGCTTACCTGAGTTTGGACTGTATGAATCACTCATTGAGTAAAATCAATGTCAAAGACCCCAGGCCAGCAAATACCCCCACAATCAGCTCCACAAACTACATACAGGCTATATATGAGAAAGTTAGAACTTAGTGGGGAAAAAAATGATAGAAGCCTATAGATAGAAGCTACCATATTATTGCACTGACCCAGTGCTAAATTCCAGCAGTCCATTTGGTCCCAGCACCTGGGGTCAGTTTGGCCTGGTCAGGACTCAAGGAAGACAAGGAGCCACATACAACACTTAGCCAGGGTGCGACCCCCTAAAGGCACCCCAGGAGCAGTCTCTCACCTCTCCCTACTCTTGGTGTATGTCCAAATCCCTATCAGGAGGGCAAGCCCATGGCCCCCAGACTCCTACCCTACTGGGCGGCATGTCTTCAGGACTGAAGAATATGCCTCTAAATATGCCCAGTTCCATGTTGAAGCTCTCCTCAACCCTTGTGCCAAAAAGTTGGGCCAGATCTGCCTAGACAGAAACCAGAGATGCATAACAGATCCAGGGCCCTAAGTTACCAGGATACCACAGGGAGAGGCTGCCCCATGACACCCTCAGACTTCAGTCCAGCAGGATCAAGCTGAACCAACTGTGCCTCTCAGATGGCCCCAGGCTCATCCCAGAGGCCTCCATACCTGAACCTAGGGCAGAAGATGCTGTTCGGCATCTGAACCTTCCTTTAGGCCCCATCTACTATGGCATCTGGTCCCATCACTTCATGGGAAATAGATGGAGATACAGTGGAAACAGTGTCAGACTTTATTTTTTTGGCAGGAGGAGAAGGGGATGACAGAGGATGAGATGGCTGGATGGCATCAGCGACTCGATGGGCATGAGTCTGGGTGGACTCTGAGAGTTGGTGATGGACAGGGAGGCCTGGTGTGCTGCGGTTCATGGGGTCGCAAAGAGCTGGACACGTCTGAGCGACTGAACTGAACGGAACTGAACTACCTCTGAGACCCCTGCTTCTGGGCTCTTTTGCAGCTGTCTCCCTGCCTCGATGACATACCAAGTCATTATTCCTTCTAAAGCAGCACTCCGCCGGTTCTCCTGGATGTCCCCCAAGTGCCCAGTGAGTCACAGGCCAGAGACTTGCTGGCAGGTCTCCTGACATGTTAGTGTACTTCATGCACAAAATGGCTTCAAACTGCATCTGTAAACAGCAGAATTTTGCCAGTATTTGCAGTTAATAACAGTTACCTTCACAGCTGTCTTATGACATTAGTATTATCCCCATTTTGTAGATCAAAAAGCTGAGGTTCAGAGTGAATAAGTGACCAAAAGTCACAGAGCTGAGAAGAGGTAAACATAGGAACTGACCGGGGACTGGTGACTCTGAGTAACTGGCTCTCACAGCAGGGCCACATTTTTTTTCTTGGGCCAGGCTCTGTGCTGATGACCCAGGTGCCCAGTTGCAGGAAACTACACTTCCTGCCATCAAGAAACTCCCAGAGAAGAACAGCAACAGTCACATAACCAAATTACTACACCACAAAAATGTGTGACAAGTGCCAAAACCCAAACATGCTGGGGCAGGCTGAAAGAGGGAGTGTTCGACCTGGGCAGATCAGGGAGGGCTTCCCAGAAGAGGAGACATTTGGGCTGATGGGGGAGCGGAGGGAGGCCAGTCCAGGCAGAGGGGAAGAGCTTACATGAGAGACCGGAGAAGACTTGCAGGGAGTCCTCTGAAGCTGGGGGCAGAGAAGACCAAGGGAGACAGCAGGGGTGGGAAGGGGCTGTATTGTGCTGGAGGGCTCTGACCTGCCAGGCCAGGGAAGGTGTACTTGATCTTGCCCTGGAGGAGGGGGGTCACTGAGGGCCTTTGAGCAGCCAAGTAGCCCAGTTTGCGCAGAGACACTCAGCAGAAGAACCGTGCTGATGAGGCCTATCTGGACTCTTAGATTTTTCCAAGAGGCCGGCATGGGGAATCTTGTGTTCCCCTCGTCCCCATCCAGGCTCAGCGGAGGTCAGCGAGCTGAGGGCTTCCAAGGTGCCTGGGCAGAAACGCTGAGGATCAGGACAGAACCTGTGTCTGTCCCAGCCCCAACGCTGTCTGCACCATCCTCTGGGAGGGAAGGGGCTGGCATGGGCAGCCCAACCCTGGCTGAAGTGTTCAGGCTGTCTTCCAAGCGACTCTGGGGAAAGGTACCCAGGAAGGGACGATGTGCATGCCGGTTCATACAGACAGGCAAAAAAGGAGGAGGGTAAGACTCAGAAAGATGTATACCCTCAGGCTAGACAAACAATGCGAAAAAGCCCGAAGGAAAGAGGCCAGAGGAAAGCTTGGCCACCCATGCCCGCATGCATCCACACACAAGTGTCTCTGGGCTCCCTCATTACTGCCCCGGCGGCGCGGTGGGCCCTGAGCAAGCAGCAGCTGCGCTGGGTCCCTGCCCGAGCACTGCCACGCTCTAACCTTCTGGGTCCACGTCCCGCTCCCAGCCCAGGAGCCGAGAGTGCTTCAAGGTGCAGTGCCCTGACGGTCACAGCTGGGCAGAAGGCATAGAATCAAAGGCCTGGGGCCGAGCCTGGCCTGGGAAGGGAGGTCAAATCATTGTTTCTTCCTGGGTCTCAGACGATACCTGAATCCAGTCTGGTGCATTTCCGCTTTGAGGGGGAAAGAGGATAATCACTGGCCCTTGGAGATCGTCTCGCAAACCGGGAACTCTGTCCACTGAAAATGAACATTCACAATCTTCCCCGCTTCTCTGAGTCCCAAGGCAGCAGGTAGAGCTCAGAACACCCAAGACACCAGGATGCCGGGTGATTCTGGAGAGCCACTCCTGCCCCTCAGGCCCGAGAACCCAAAGGAGGACGTGGGCCTGCTGAGAACTCACCTCCTCCTCCGGGGGCAGGCCACGGCTTCCCCAGGAGAGGCCCCCGCCACAGCCCGGCTCTCTCCCGCTGGGTCTGAGGGAATCTACCTCGCGCCCCTCTGTCCTTGGCTCAGGGACCCGCAGAGCGCCTTGGGAAGGGCGGAGGCGCTAACCTGGGGGCGGGGGCTGCTCGGGCTCCACTCGGACCCCAGCTCGTGGTACGCAGCGGAGCCGGTCCGCGTCCTCGCGGAGGTCCGCCCCCGTCGATGCAGCCGCCGCGGAGCTCCTGGGCCGTCCCGGCGGCCCCTGAACTCCCCTTTCCGAGACGGGGGGGGGGGGGCGGCGCTGGGAGAGGGCTCGGAGGCAGGAGTTAGGAGCTTCCTCGAGGTGAGCTGGGAGGCTGGCGGCCGGGAGGCAGAAAGCTCGCCTCTCTGGGCCCCAGTTTCTCTGCCCGCATGATGGTACTTCTCTGTCCGCGGTATTTAAGGGAACCAGCAGGAGAAAGCGTTAGAAACCGTGTTGTCCCGACTAAGCTCCGGGGTCCCTGCGCCTCCGTGGAGCAAAATAAGGCCATACTCTTGCGAACTCGAAAACTTCCAACACTCTCCCTACACACATACTGCCTTCTAGGCGAGCAGAAAACAGTTCGCTTTAATCTACGGCTACTTCTTTGAGGAGAGCATCTCATTCCCGCCTATGAGTGGGAACGACTTTAATTTTCCTCAGCAGCCTGTCTTTTTTTTTTTTAACAACCATTTTCGTCTTGAAAACAATTTAAAAGACAAGATGATCACGGGTTGGCGAAGCGCCCCACTTCGTCCTCTTGACCCGGTGGAAATGAAGTGACAGGAAGTCCGGCACTTCCCAGATGGGGAAACTGAGGCCTAAGAAGGACACAAATAGTTCAAAGCTGCTGGGCCCAGTGACAGCTCCCAGGCGCTGCCACTGCTGCAGCCAGCGGCCTGGCTGGGCGCGACGCAGGACGGACTGCCTTTGTGGCGCTCTGAGGCCACACCTGCAACCCGCCGACCCTGACTGTCCCAGAGTAATCCAGGGGTCCCTGTGTTCTAGCTGCCCGAGACCCTTAGATCTGATTGGCAAGCACCTGGCCCAGGGCTTCCATCGTCCCCTGTAAGGAGCCTGGCGAGGGCCTGGACTTCAAGCACAACCGAGGACAGAGAACTCAGCGAAAGACAGAGGCTGCAGGCCCGGAAGGCAAGGAGCCCAAACACCTGAACTTCCCTTCCAGCGTAGAACCTCCTCTGCACAACTTCAAGCAAGCCCCTTTGGCAATCTGGGCCTGGTTTCCTTCCAGCTTGAATTTCCAAGATTTCCTTAAGAGCAGGGTACCTCTGCATCTGCCTTCAGGGGCATCTGGGTCAAGAGATATGGAGGAATTTCCCATAACTCCTAGAATCCCCTCCTTTATACTTAAGAAACTCTTCTTAGGGGAAGAGCTCTAGCATCTTCTACAGATCACCAGCACTCCTCCTCTCCCCCCCAAATTTAACATAAAATAGCCTGTGAGGGGGCAGGTTTTTCCAAAAGGTGCTGAGGATGCACTCAGGGCTCTAGGCAGTCAGAAGAGGATGGAAAGCACCCAGCATCTGTCCACATCAACATCAACCCACCCCAGCTGGACTAGAAGAATGATTTCCAAGGGACAAGAACCAACTCTGTAGCTCTCAAACAGTTCTCAATGGGTCTGTTAATCCTATACACACTCAGGAGAACTGCCCCAGAGAAGAGGTGAAGACTGGATGAGAAAACTGAGGAAGTGGCCTGGCACTGAGCGGATCTTTCTGAATAGTTTTGATCCAAACGGGTTAACTGTCTCAGTGCACTCAAATCCTTTAATTCAAATTTTACATCTTCAAAGTGCAGAATTTTGAAATGTGTTATTAGAAAAAAACATTTATGGAACAGCATTTTTAGCATTCTTTGTTCATGAAATCCTAGAATCATAATCTTTATAATTCTAATCTCAGGATGCTAACGCTTGGTCTGATGCATAGGCAGAGCTCAGTAGCTGAAAAGTTTGAGAAAAAGGAATCGGGTTTCTAGAAGAGTGTGTCCACAGTCACAAAACAAAGAGGATCAAAACATCCTGAGACATGAGGCTTCTAACGATAGTAACTGGAGCTTAAAAGTCTCCATCCATCTTAAAGGCATTAAAGTATATGGTCATAAATATTATAAGACTTGTTAGATTATTTGAGTTATAGAATAGTGGATCTAGTACTAATATTTTAGAATTAAATAAGAGAGATGTGGATTTATAGGACCCAAATCTTCCAATCAGACATTTCTAGACAGGAATTAAAATTAAGCAATATGTACCTCAGAGCTGTAAAAATGTCTAAAACGGAGAAGCTACAACTGCCAACAGTGGCATCATATTTTCAGGCACAAAATCTTACTCCCAGCATCTTAAAAATATAAGGAATATGCTTTTACACTCTGAAAAGAAGTTTAAAGTCATAGGAATATAATCACAGTCAAAGAATTTAGACACTGGTCATAGAATCTTAGACTTACAGAAACACATTATTTGATTTAGGGATTCATGCTAGGATAGTAGTACAAATTTTAACATTTGGAAATCTGAATCTTGGAACCATAAAATTCAGTATTAAAAGACTGCTATTTTGTAATCTGGTCAAAATTTAACAATTTTAAACCTTTTCCCCCTTTGGAAAAAAACAGGATGAAACCTGGATTTTCGCAGCGTGGTTACTTTGGAAGAAGGAAGCTGGGAGTGTTTCGAGCGAGTGAAAAGCCTCTCCAGTCGTTCGAGTGTGCATCCGCGGAGGAAGGTCCTCATGCAAATTGTTCGATTGGCTTCCACACTCGGGTCGGCGGAGCGAGGACTTGGACTCTTTGCGCCCTGCTTCCGAAGGCAGTTGCCCAGTGCTTGGAGGGGCTGGGCCAGCCCGGAGCTAAAACCCTTGAAGGCTGGCCGCCCGAGCTCTCGCGGCTCACTCCCCCCAACCCTGCACCCGCAGCCGGAAAGCTGCATCTCGGCTGGAGCCTCTGGGGTCGGCACCAAGTCTCAAAATTCTAAGGATAGAAGCCTTCCTCCCTTCTCATTCCAAGATCTGCACGTGCTTTTCCGCCTTCAATTCTCAGAAAACTGTGGGCTTGCGACTGGGAAGGGACTGGCCCAAGGTCTACCTGCAAAGGATCATAAAAAGAATCCAGACCTGCGGGGCCATCGATGCAGGAAGTCTTGGGTGAGGAAGAGCTCGGTCTTGGGAGGTGGCAGGAAACGAACTCAGAAACCGGACACCCTCGAAGCAAACGGGTCCCCTGTGCCCGCCCCTTTCCAAGGAGAAGCGCCCCCTCCCCCGGCCCCCGCTACTCTCAGCCCTCCGCCCCGCTTCGGGATGGAGCTGCTCGGCTGCTTGCAGCCTGCTTGAACTGAGCGAACTGGAGGAGATCACCACGAGAGGGCAGAAGCCCAGCCTTCATCCTCTTTAAGCTGTGCTTCACTCCCCATCATATAAAGAGGGGTCCCGAGCCACCCAGATGATTGGAGGTGGGGATAGTGCGGTGTTTCCCTAAATATCAGCAATGGAAAGACACGAGGTACAAAACCTTGGTACAGTCGGGGAGCCTGGCACCCAAAGAGGGGAAGTGGCTGCCTCTGGCACATGGCGAGGAAACGCACTAACAGAGGCAGGCAGGTGTGAGGTCTGGGGAATCCGCGAAGTCGCGGTGGAACTGCAGCAAGTCACATCCTCTATAAGACCTAGGAATTATGTCTGAAAGAAGAGGGACTGGATGGAGAATGGCCAGGGCAGCCTGGACTTAGGGTTTGAGAATCACCCCAGAGATCTTGGGAGCCAATAACCAGGGGCGTCTTCTCCCTTCCTCACCCCCACCCACAAGAACCAGGCGCCCCCTGTCAATTCTCACCCTCCCCAGCCAAAAAAGTGAAGCGAGCCCTTCCTTTCACCTGCGGGTCCCAGCCTTCTGTACAGGCTGATGAAGTCCGGAAGCGCTGAGTCTGGGCGCCGACAGCTCCTGCCTCTCTCGGCCTCATTCTCCCCGTCGGTGCGCAGAGAGGACAGGCCGGGGGCATCTCCAAGCGCCCTCCGCGCTCCGACCGTGTGGTCCCGCCGCGCCGCCACAGCTGCTCCTACCTGGGGAGGTGCGCCGGGGCCCAGGGGGCGGGTAGTAGAACTGATGCCGGCGCCTCAGCCCCAGGACCAATTCCAGACCCGTTGACCGCCTGGCACCAGCGCGCAAAGGACCCTTCAGCCCCAGACAGAAGGCTAGTTCCAGTACCAGCGTCGCTGCCGGCGCCTGGCTTCGAGGTCCAGAACACGAGCAGCGCCGTCGGTAGGCGGGACACTTGAGCTTCGGTCCGCAGACGGCCGGTCGGGAAACAGCGGGCGCCGAGCCTCCTGCGAGCCCCCGGCAGGGAAGCTGTGCTCCGGTCGAGCTGCGGGGACCCTCTCAGCTCTCTGCAGAGGGGCCCAGCGTCGGTCCCCTCGGAAGCGCCCCCTGCAGCGGGGCAAGCCGCCCTACAGCTACATCGCGCTCATTGCCATGGCCATAGCGCACGCGCCGGAGCGCCGCCTCACTCTGGGCGGCATCTACAAGTTCATCACCGAGCGTTTCCCCTTCTACCGCGACAACCCCAAAAAGTGGCAGAACAGCATCCGCCACAACCTCACGCTCAACGACTGCTTCCTCAAGATCCCGCGCGAGGCCGGCCGCCCGGGCAAGGGCAACTACTGGGCGCTCGATCCCAACGCCGAGGACATGTTCGAGAGCGGCAGCTTCCTGCGCCGCCGCAAGCGCTTCAAGCGCTCTGACCTGTCCACTTACCCGGCTTACATGCACGACGCGGCCGCCGCCGCCGCCGCCGCTGCCGCCGCCGCCGCCGCCGCCATCTTCCCGGGCGGGGTGCCCGCTGCGCGCCCTCCTTACCCCGGCGCGGTCTATGCCGGCTACGCCGCACCGTCGCTCGCCGCGCCGCCCCCGGTCTACTACCCGGCCGCCTCGCCAGGCCCGTGCCGCGTCTTCGGCCTGGTGCCTGAGCGGCCGCTCAGCCCAGAACTGGGCCCCGCGCCCTCGGGGCCCGCCGGTTCCTGCTCCTTTGCCCCGGCCGGCGGCTCTGCAACTAGCACCGCTTACCAGCCGGGCGGCTGCGCCGGTGCCCGACCCGCCAACACTTCCGCCTATGCGGCCGCCTACGCTGGCCCCGACGGCACGTACTCGCAAGGGGCCGGCGGGGCCCTCTTCGCAGCGGCTGGCCGATTGCCCGGGCCCGCTTCGCCCCCCGCGGGTGGCAGCGGCGGTGGCGTCGAGACTGCGGTGGACTTCTATGGACGCACATCGCCCGGCCAGTTCGGAGCGCTGGGGCCCTGCTACAATCCTGGTGGGCAGCTCGGAGCGGGCAGTGGAGGCGCCTACCACGCTCGCCACGCGGCTGCCTATCCGGGCGCGGTGGATCGGTTCGTGTCCGCCATGTGAGCGGAGCATACAGGCGAAAAGTCATAGATACCTCGACTGTCCTTACGAACTAAGTATCCACGAAACCTGAGGACAGGACTGGACAGGCGGCCAGATTGAGAGCCACGTGGCAGGGACCGAGCCGGCGTGACAGGCGCAGACTCGGGGCACCGCGTACCCCGGGCGCCTGCCGGGCGGCTTTGAAAACGGGAGGTGGGGAGAAGCGTCCGAGGCCCATGGACTGGGACAACAGGCCCTCATAGAGGCGCAACTCCAAAGGTCTTGCCTTTGACATTCTACCGGGGAGGGCCCTCGGCTCTAAAGGGGGCAGAAGGTAGCGTCTACTCTAGAGTCTAGAGGGATGGTGGAGAATCACATGATTTCACTCTTCCCGGTACTTTTCGAAACTATTTACACAGTTCGACCTCTTGTGCCTTTGACTACCTTATTACAATAAAAGACTCCTATAGCGTCTTCCTACAGAAGGTGAGGAGGACTAATTTGCAAAAGAAGTAACTTAAAAAAAAAAATGGAAAAGATCTCTTTAGCTTGACCGAGGCCTGCTTTTCCCAGCCTCTAAGAACTGCAAACCTGGCTCTGAATCTGGACTGTGCTGGGTTGCCACAGTGTGACCCAGTTCCATCACTCACACCCCCAGTGTTCCCATGTGATATACAGGAGGGCTGCAGAATTCAGCCGGGCCCCATATGATCTTTAAGGGCCCATCAGGGTTGCTGCCACCCTGCACATTTGGCAGCATGAGTGGGCCACCCAAGGCCTAACCTTACTCCAGGGAATGGGAACAGAGCTCATGGCAAGCAACTCTGGATTAGCTCCAGGCCCCGATTATGTCATAATTTCTTGAATCTTTTCAGCATGATGTGCTGATCATTCGGCAGCTATTACTGCTGGGTCATAAATGTGGTTTTCCAATGAGGCAGGTAGAAATACATTTGTCCACTGCCCACTCTTTCTTTTCATTAAGCCCTGGACCCAATGGGTGAGTTAAAATTCAAACAGATGACAAAACTGTCTTGAGTCTCTTGGTGCCGGCTTTCATTTTGTGGGCTGGCCCTTCCACCCCTGGCACCCTTTGCCGTACCTCGGTAGCCTCCTCATGCAAAAAAAAGAAAGAGAAAAACTAACTGGGGCAGTCAGTTAGGCTTTAGAAAGAAACCGGTATTTAACTTTGTTTTGTTTCCATTTATTTCTTTTAAGCTACAAGATGACCAAGATCAGAAAAAAAAAAAAAATAAATCCAACCATTTCCCCACCTTTCTCATGAGAAATCTTGTAAGTTTCAATTCTGGAGCAAAACTTTCTAGCATTAAATATTTCAGAGGCTCATTGTGCAGTTTCAGATAAACTTGAGTGTTCATATGAACTGTTTCTAATAAAGATCTTTGAGTAAGTGAGTTCTGGCAAGAGAAAGGCAGCCTCTTTCTGCGTAATTAATTTACTAGGGAAGAGTTGGGGAGTGTGGGAAAGAAGACTGAAAACCATTGGTAATTTTTATTTTTAATTTCGCGGATTGCTCTATCCTGTTCACAAAGACATGTGAATGTAATTCAGTCCAGAAGGGTATCTATCTGCCTAATAAGTGCTGCCCAATAGAAATATCATGCAAGCTGCCCGCGTAACTAAGATTTTTCTGGTAGCTCCATTTATTTTAAAAACAAGTGAAATAGTGAGATTGATAATATACTGTATTTCACACAATTTGTCCAAACTATCATTTCAAGGCATAATCAGTGTAAAAATTGTTGAGGTAGTTTATGTTTTTCATACTAAGTCTTCAAAATCTGGAGTGTATTTTACACTTATAGCTCATCTAAGTTTGGACCAACCACAAGCCAAGTGCTCAATAGCAGTGTGTGGCTGATGGCTACGGTGTTAGCGCGAGTCTAGACACTGGTCCTTCCTGACTCTGACGGTAGTGAACGACCACCTGAGGCAGGGAGCAGCTGCAGCGCTGACCCTCCGACCAGTAGGTCCCGATTTCAGACCTAGCCCTGTGACCTTGGAAATGCCTGGGTGTTAGGCCTCCCTTATCTCCCTATGGATCCTTACAGGTTGAAATTCAGAGGTTCTCGTGTGCAGCTAGACAGTCTGGCTCTCCCAGGCAGCAATCAGGATGCCTTGCCTAGCTGGCAGTAGTCAGAAATTGAAAGACTTCCACCCCAGGGTCTTGTCCTTGGCTGCCTAAAGCCCAGCTAGGGGATTAGGGCTGGAAAAGGGTAGTCTATGCGCCCGGTTAATGTGGCGGTTGACCCATTCTCAGTGTTTTATTTAGCAAGTCCAATGCTTTGACAGCGTCATTAACCAGTCCCTTCTCTAGGGTCCTCATTTGTGAGTGGGAATGTGTGACCCCTCGCTTAGAGTCCTCCTGAGGTTAAACGAATCAAGAGAGGTAGATACGCTATGTAAACTGTAAAGCGCTTGGCACATGAGGGAAGAAGGGCTTTAAAATTACAAAGCGCCGCCTTACCCTGAAGCCTCCTGGAGCGTCGAGGTAAAACCCGGGCGAACGAGAAAGATGAAGACGCAAAGTGCACGCGTCTTCACTCCCAACTCTCCCTGGAAACTGGGACGACAGGTGAGATGGGGCCAAAAGCCAGAGTATGTGACGGGAGAGGGGCGCTGCGAGCTGGGAGCTGGGTGCGCACAGCGAGCGCCCGGAAAGACAGCGGGACCTCGCGGTTTTGGAGAACGTCGGCGCTTTTCGGCCTCCTGCCTGCCGGCGGCACCCAAAGCTCGCGGGCCAGTCGGACGCTTCAATCACAGACGGGCCGAGCCGAGCCGATCATCCACGCGGCCGAGCCGTTCGCGCGATTCTAGGACCTTGAGAGCAGCCACTGCTGCGTCTAGCGAGAGCCCGACTCTCCGAACCCCCAAACCGCGAAACAGGACCTCCCCTTCTAGGGGCTCAGAGTCGGGAGGTGCGTTTCTCTTTTTTCTTCTTCCTATCTTGAAACCAGAAAAAATTGTGTGCCCCTCTCTGGGCCCTGCACCCCCAGCGTCGTGTGCAGGCGCCCCACGGGCTGTGGGTAATTAGATGCGTTCTTTTCTAATTTCCCAAGGCTCGTTAGAATTCGCCCCAGAGCTGTAACATTTATTTTCTTTCAAATTAACTTTGCTAGCAATTAAGTTTAAGAAACCAGCAACAAAAGGAGTCTTGGCCCGAGGTCGTTTACTACGAAAACGGATTAAGGAATCTTGCCCGGTTTAGGGGGGAAGATTCCCGCAGCGCCAGGGGAAGCGTTCCCACAGCAGAGGCCGAGCGGGCGTAGGAAGCTGCTGTCGGCGGCCGTGGACGGTGACGGCATCGCCTTCCAACTGGACGACCCGTGCGCCCGAAAGAGTGCGGGTAACCTCACTGAAGTGAACTCTTGAGCGTTTGGGTTGAATTCCACAGTCATGACATGAAGCTGCTGTACACAGTTACAGTTTATCCAGAACACTCATAAACATAATCTCATTTACTAAGAACTTCGTGAGAATTTTTTCATTAAAACTACGTTTTTATTACAAAATTGGTACACTTTCATTGTTAAAAAAAAAAAAAGAGCCAAAGTAACATTAATTCACCCAGAGAAAGCACAGAGAACACCTCAGTGAGTATCTTTTCTAGTTTTCGTTTTTGTTTTTCCTTTGCAAGAGGCTTGAGTCCCAACTTTGTCACTGAAATGCTTCGAGATCTTGACCCAGGTTGCACCAGCCTATGTTGCACTATCTACAAAGCTGGCGGCAGGTCCCCTTTCACGCTCACATTCTTGAACTCCTCCTTTTTTGGTCGTCTGAACCCAGGATGCTGTTTTCCAAGAGCCAGTAGAAAGGCTGGCAGCAGGCTTGCTGTCCCTGCCGTTCTGCACAGGAGACGAAGGCCTTGTGGCTCTAAGTGTGGACCACAGACTACCAGCATGAGCATCCCCTGGGAGCTCGACAGAAATGCAAACTCCCAAGCCCTACCCAGATCCACTGAAACACAAACTGCATTTCAACAAGACCTGAAGCGATTCTCTGCCCTAAGTAGAGAGGCAAAGCTTTAGAGAAGTGTGGGGTGGGCTGGGGGGGGGGGGTGGTCGGTGAGGGGTTAAGTGTTACATTGTTGATCAGAGACCCCAGAATAACTTCCAGAAGCTTCCCATTTCTGAGCAAGAACCCCAACCAGAGATGGCTGTGGAGAGAGATGGCTTGGGTGGAGCCCTTCACCTCCAGCCTTGGGTATACTTTACAGTCTTGGAATCCTCACCTTTCAAATGCATCTCATCTCATGTTCCCTGTCTGATGGGTGTGACTGTGACAGTGACTTAAATGAGAGTGTATCTGAAGCCATCTTAAAAGCTGGGGTGTCAGAGCCTGGCCAGGAAGCCAGGCTGAGCCACTTGGGAGACCTCGGGCTCTGGGCTCTCTGTCTTCTCAGCGGCAGTCGTTTGCCTAAATGCGGATTAAGCTTGGCAACTCTAACCCCAAGTCTGGGCTAGTTGGGGTTTAGGAGAAAAGTAAAGCTCACTTCTCAGGACCCAACAGCCAGCAGGAAGAGCTGGAGGATCCTCCAGTAAAGCAGTTTAAGGGTCCCTGGAACAGCCCAAGATTCTGAGTGCCCTAATGAATCTTCCCCCGCCCCCATCCCCACAGTCCCCCCATTCCCACCCCAGATACACACAGCTTTTTAGAGAATTTAGTTTCTGTGCTCATCCTGTTCCTGAGAAGTGCTGACTGCTGGGGCTGGCATGACAGGGTAACTGGGGGTGGGGGTGGCGGTGGGGGGTCCCTGATGAAAAGTGGTTCAGACAAGGGGCACGTACCAGACTGGATTCTCTTCCCGGAATCACAGAACAGCTCAGTGGAAGAACCAGGACTCTGATCTCAGTGCTCACATGAGTTTTCAATAATAGGAATAAATAGGAATACGATGTATCTGTATAGAGCTTCTACAGAGCTAAAGGGACGCATGACTTAACCCAGCTCTCATAGCTCTAAGTGTCCAACCTGACTAAAACCTATGCCTCTCTCAAGGG